CTCTCAGGGCATCGTGGAGACAGTAGACTGAGTAGTTTCCCCAGGGGAGAACCTGTTTTGCTAATGGATGTGACGAAGCTGGGGTATCAAAGACAGCTAACTGCCAGAGGTAATGCCTTCACACACGGCTCTCTCCGCACGCAAGACGCACCTGTGGAACGGAACCAGCGCCAGACGCCGGGTATCGACAACAGATTACCGGGCTTATGAGTCAGGATGAACCGGGGTGAACCTGATAACACCTCCGGATGACCCCGCAGGACCCAACTCTGGACTGTCACTCACCGGCTCCGGCTGTTTATCTCCAAGCAGATCTTTTGGTGGCTGCAATTATTGTACAGTATCAGCAAGGCAGTATAATAGTCAATGCGTCACCCGTAAAAAAGGAACCAGTACAAATAGGAAGGCCCGATAAAAAAATTTTCTTAAAATATTTTTCCTGAGAGGAGTCTGCTAGATGTAGGGTGGGGCAACAGTCTCTATGACAAGTGTTATATTCTTTCTTCACTTTCTACTACACATAGTAACACTACAAAGGAGGAAAATACATCGACAGCTGTAGATTTCTGTTGTGTTCAATATTAGCAACGTCATATAATACAGTGTATTGATGTCAATACAATACATAACGTGAATTTTGCTTTACCACTATCGAACACGGGCCGTGCTGTCGGACAAGGCATGGCGGAGACATTTCAGTGATGGATTTCGGGCAACATGGTGGCATTTTGGTGTGAAATGTCTCGCCTTGTAAGGATTCTCAACGCGTCTTCTTCCATTTGTAAATATCTTCACGACGTGCACGTGTCACCGGGCTGAGAGAGAACTACGCAAAATATAGCAGGGGTCCGACAACGGTACATCGAAGGCCTGACAGTACAACACATCAATGCGTGGTATTGCCATATTTGTATTTGGGTCAACGTTGATGGATTAGTAGATTTCAAAATCTGGATGTTTGACCCGCAGACCTACCAGGACGTCAGAAAATTGCCTTTCCTGTACAGCCGTGTATGCACACAGTCTGTACGGCTCTTCGGTTGTTGTCGTTCGCTGATGATGATGCTCGTCAATCGGTACATCTGACTTAAAGGGGCATTATGTAACATTTTTCCAGCAAAATTTGTAATATTCTATTCGTAAAATCTTTGTGTGATTCTAATTTCCTTCCACTTTTCTACATATTTGTGCTGTTATTTTACATTTCTGACATTCATGGTTCGCAATAAAACAGCCCACACGAGGGGCACTCATTTTGTGGCACCACCAGAAAACACATGTACCAGAATGTGAACAAACGTGACTGACAGCTGTTTCCACACTCTTGTGTGTAATAAGTTGGCATCTGCACTTCCTAAATGATACATATTTACAATGGAATATGGTTGATTGGACAAAGTACTTTGTAAAGAAATGACCAGAAAATTTACTTTTTGTATCTTACTAATGTTACATAATGCAGCTCACGTTCTGCCCTTCTGAAGGATTATCGAATGGGTAAGCATCGCTTGAAATTCTTCAGACGAGACAGTTGCTCTTTTTGTTTTCCTGGCTTAGGCTCACCTGTCCCTGTCTTAAGCTGACATTTCCTGTGAGTCAGGTGGCTGGAGGCTTGCCAGGGGGGATCCCTCGGGAGGAAACCCGGGCCGGCGTTCCCAGGCAGCCGCTCTGTTCCCTGACAACCGCCGCTAACAAATCTTAAAGGCATCCAGTGCAGTTTTTAGGGCTTGGAAACCAGATTTTTCAAAGTCAATATTCTAGTCACTTACTCGTATCTACATACATTTACTGTTCAAACAACACTACTGTAAATCGACATCCATGGAGCAAAAATGCAACAACAAAAACATTTACGAAAAACGTTTACTGGAAGGACCTGGATTGATTTTTATGGTACCACCCAGAAAATAAAGGACAGATCATCTTGTTTCTGCAGTTGCCTTATTCAGAATATTTCCAGTTTTGTCGCACTGAAATTGCATTGGCCCCAAAGTGATCTCAGTCAGGGCAGTAAAACTGGATTCTGGTCTGGTAGTAAGTTGAATCAATCCTAATAGCATACCGATATCTGTGAGGCAAAACTCTGATGCCTGTGATGAAAAACGGTTGCTTGTGTCGTATCGTAGGCTAGTTCTAGCTATTTATGGATGGTGCCAAAAAAATAAAGGGACTCCTCACGTAGCTTGTTTCTTGACTATTTTTAAACATTTCAAACATGAAATGATGACGAAAAGATGGTAAGAAATGACAGTAATTTTCAACTTCAGACAGGTAGATTTCGTCATCCAGAATATTTCTTTACGGTTTTGCCACCCTAAAATTACATCAGATGCCTTAACTACCAAACCATTTTCTACAGTAACTATTATAACACGTATGTTTACATTCTGTATCTGCTGCGTGAGTGATTGGCCACTTGCTAATTAGTTCTGTAACAAGATTAACGGCTCTTCCCAATCCCGTCACCAAGATTGATGTACCCTGTACTCCCCACGCTTCAGCAGCACATCCGCAGTCGTATATAGCGGAAAGCCCGGTGGAAGCGTTGGCGGGAAGAGGTGTTTACACTACAAGCATGGCCTTTGCACTTCAAAGCTTATTTTAAACAGTTTCAATGGGGTGCCTGTTGATGAAGACGTCATCGCCAGACTGCCTGCTGGTAAAGTAATCTCTCGGTGGCTTAGGCCCAGGAATAACCAAGCTTCCCGTGTGCATGACTAGGTTTTTCTCTGTACGTGATCCTTGATTCTAGTTCAGTTTTTAGGGCTTGGAAACCCTGTTTTACAAAGTCAATATTCTAGTCACTTATCTACATACTAAGTTGAAACATGGAGGGTTGAAACAACACTGTCCCAACATTCTGACGAAAAACGGTTACTGGAAGGGCCTGGATTTATTTTTCGGGTACCACCTCGAATAACACTAGAGAATAAACAAAATGCACAAAGCAGGCGTCAATTTGCAAAGCCACACCAATGATATAACTCTACTTCCTGTCATACTTCCTGAGTGTGGTCATATTTGGTTTGTTACTGTAAGACAAAATTACTTCTCTGTGAATAATGATCGTGGCAGGAGGTGGCAAGACGTATGTGGCACATCTGTCTTTTAGCTTGTGTTACGTAACCTCTTGCTGTCAGCTCAGGGGCAGATTAGCCTCTATCACTCAGGCGTCGGGAGGCGGCTCAGCTCAGGGGCAGATTAGCCTATACCAGGCCTCGGGAGGCGGCTGGAAAGAGTAGACAATGGCCAAATAGAGAGATAACATGCCAGGGGAGTTGGTCCGCCAAAGAGTAGTTTGGGACCTGCGCACAAACTATATCATATGTGATGAGAGAAAAATTATAATTTGGTAAAGAACTCTGAAAACCTTTTTGAATGGGCATTTAGGTGAATGTTTGGCATTTTGATAGTAGGTGGTATAGTGTAGGGTTTTGAGTCAATGTTTTTGCCCAAAAAATGGATTTTTTTCCATACGTATGGTCTTGTTGTTAGCTACATTTGTGATACTACACCCCTCTTGCTGGTCTCTTGGAATCGCCCTGGAAGACGGTGTCAAAGTTGACCCATGATATTACGAGCGATCACTGTTTTTGTTTACATGATACACATGCAAATTATTTGAAGACACATGCAAATTATTGGTAGGTAAATCATCACTACCCTACCTCACCTACCACTCCCTGGCGGTCGCTCCTATATCTTATGAATCGCCCAAAAAGGCTTGTAAGTACATACTTATAGTTGGGCTAGCTCATGAAGGTGAGTTTTCGTGACTAGAAATCCTGAAAGGTAAGATCAATTGGTAAGATTTTATGCCCTTGCCTTGCTTGTTTTCCATAGTTTTCAATGCGTCGTAGGACTAACTGTAGCCCCCCTCCCTATTCCCGAGAGCTTTTGTCCTCCCGAGTTTGATAGACGACGCGTCATACACCATTCCCATCATAACTTCCGATACTGTGCGACCTTGGCCTTGCAAATAGTAGACGATGTCTGATCACCCATGCGTGCAGCCAATAGGAAATGATTCAGCGTCCCTTTTCGACTGACCGTGTATAAAATAAACATATATGAGAAGAATAACAAGATAATTAGACAGAAAATGTAAAGAACGTTACCTTACAGGAGTGAGTAGGGGTACAATGTACTGTAATGCCTGATTTTTTTTTCACAGTACATGTATATTTATGTTCTCTGTTTTCAGTGTCACTTCTAAGGAAGAATATGGAACCATCTCAGAAGTCCGTACAATACACATTCTATGTATTACACATTCCAAATGGCTGACTGGAGACAACAAGCATGTTAACTTGTTATGTACGCTAAACATAGTCGTGACGTTCTAACATGTATGAAATGCTACTGATAAGAAATGGACGATATGGCAACTTAGAGATATTTCATGAATCTTGATCCACATATCTTACTACTTATCCAGAGCTTTGTTGCTTCAAAAATAAACAACGCATTTTCGTCATTGTATTTGTACTTATATTACAAAGCGGAAACGCAATATTTGTCAGGATAGATATTATGCATAAGGGTTAGGGTTACGACTTACGTGTTTCTTGTAACGTTAGCAAAAAAGGCCTTGCTCGTTTACCTTAAATCTGCATTGTGTGATATTAGGACGATAGAAAAAGTCAATTTTCTGGTCATTTCTTTACGTAGGTGTCATTCAGAAAGTTGAAGTGCCAAAATATTCCAGCATACGTATACCAGCCGTTAGTCATGTTTGTTTACATTCTTGTATTTTGTGGTGGTGCCACAAAATGACTGCGCCTCGCGTGGGTTGTTTTAGTTCCAATCATAAATGTCATGTGAAATGTGAAATACATGTAATAGCACAAATATGTTAAAAAATATATTGAAATGTGGAAGTAAATGACAATCACACGAAGATTGTTTCTCAATTAAGATATTTCATTTTTTATGCAAAAATGTTACATAATCCCCTTCAATATTGATCTGAATGATTCTGTTTGCTTCCTGTCCTACAGGACACGACGAAGATGTCGGCCTGGTCTGCCAGGGGCCACACATCATGCAGCCGCTCAACGGATGGCACGGCGTCGAGTTCGTTCCCGATAGAACTAACAAGGACGAGAGGAGCATACTGGAGTACGTCGACATCATCTATGCCGGGATCTCCACCGGCCTGGACTCCGCGGCCTCCCTTCGAGTCGTCGGCGTCGCGCCGAAGATCCACAAGGTTCGCGTCAAGGCGTCGTCCGGTACGGGGATGGAGTTCGACTCCATGGAGACTCCCCTCAACCTGACGGACTCCATCGTGTCGGGGAGCATCGGGTCGGGCATCAACATCACTACCCAAGTGGGCGGAGTCACGCTGAGGAACTCCAAGGTAACCAGTAACGGGGAGGAGGGACTGCGGTACTCGTTCAGACACGGGGATTACCTGCCGGGACCGGGGGACTTCTGCGCGTTCCTGCCGCAGGCGGAGGCCGGGTTTGATCAGTACCCCATCCACCTGGAGGGGAGGTCGTCACGGGATAAGGACTGCACCAAGGTAGGTGGAACTACGCATCTATCAGCGCAGCTTGGTACTAGAGGGTTTGCAGAGATTGTACCTTTGGTCCTTCGTACGATATCTTGCTTATGATGTAGATTAATGAGCACTAACTCCGTCAAAGACTGGGGCGGGATGAGAGGTCAGATTCATGGATTACAAGTTTTATGATACTATTATTTGAGTTGAGAATACATGTGACAAACGAGTGTGTTAATTTCTGGCTTCAATGTTGTACATGTCTCAAGATCTGTGTTATCACTGTTTTACAGGTATTTACGACAAGCCCAGGGCACGTTCTGACTGTGCAATACGTGAAGTGGCGAGGGGTCCCGAGAGACGACTCCTTCCTCCAGGTGAGGGACGGTCCTGACGAGACATCGCCCGTCCTGGGAGACCACCACTTCAGCGAGAACTTGCACAAGAGCGTCACCAGCACGGGAAACGTGTTGTTCATGCGGTTCAAGACGAGGGGAGCGTACGACGACTTCTTCGAAATCCGGATACTCAGCTCTGAAGGTGAGCGCCATGTTGCTTTTCTACAAGAAATTATGTGGATGTTGATAGGCTATCCTTTACTTTATGTAACAAGAAATGCTTTTTAAAAAGCTGGCCAAGATGGGAATAGCTTGTTGGGTGGCGTGAGTGTGATGACGATGTGGGACTCAAATAATTGGTCAACTTGGTGACTTGAATCGGACTAATGCTAATAAGACTGGACTTAGATGCACACTAAATGTTTCTCTTTTAAGGCGAAAGAGATTTTTTCTAATCGTTTATTAGCGATTCCTTCCGGTAAGAATTGCGTCACTGCTTGTTTCATTCTGCCAGTCTTTCCCTCCTGACATCTGCTTGTTTTTCAATCACATGATAATGTATCCGATACCCAACATTCCCAACGTTCACCGAGAATTAACAAACGTTACTGTATCTTGATATAACGTCCTTGGTGATACTCAGCGTGCCCCCAGCCAAAAAATATGCAGAGGTCTATGTTGATAATGTCTTTCCTCCCCTAGCTGAACATGTACAGATACATTCAGTATGTTTTCGTTTCTTTGTTTTTCAGGAGAAAGTGTTGACTTGTCCCTGAACAGATGCCTGTTTCATCGGAACGGCGGGGACGGCGTGGTGGTGGAGAACCTCCAGGGCGAGGTCAAGGTCCAGGAGACGCTCCTGGCGAGCAACGGCAAATCCGGGTTCCACATCGCCAGCGGGATCGGGAACGTTCTGCTGGAGAAGGTCGTGGCGCAGGAGAACAAGGAGAACGGCCTCCTGTTCGACTACTTCGGAGGGAAGGAGATCATCCAGGACAGTGTCGTGAGCCGGAACGGCAGGGACGGACTGGCGTCAGCTCCGCCACAGGTTTTCGAGAATCTAGAACAGTTCGAGGTCCGCAACAGCACCTTCGTCGCCAATAAGGGACTGGCGATCAAGCTCAGCTCGACCTGTTCTCTGAACGCGTCCAGTCTCGTCATTACAAAGAATATCATCAACTCGAACGGGAAAGGTGCGGTTGATATAGGCTCATGCACTATCGGATACCGCACCAAGGTCCTCGTTAAAGAAAACATGTTCAGACGAAACTTCGGACAAGTCTTTGTCATCCGCGATATGAACGAGTTTAACTTGAGAATAGAGGGTAATATATTTCAAGACAACAAGGACACGACCATACATCTGGTCTCCCCAAACGTCCGGTCGGGTCCTGTGGACATTGAAGTCGTCTCGAACAGTTTCTTCATGAATTCGGGTCCCTCCATCATCTATGTGGATCTGATGAACGGAGACACCGACGAAAGGGTGCCCGCCCACTCCTTCATTTTCGTCTTTAACGTACTCGAGGAAAACACGGTCAGCGTACCGTTCCCCTATCTGATAGGACGCGCCCTCAGTAACGCCGTGATGGTCTTCAAAGCCACGAACACTCTCATAGAAAAAAGCATCTTCGACAATCCCGATTCAAGATACGAGCTGTCCACCCTGCTCTTCAGTCCGCCGACTAGGTTGCTGGCAACGCGCAACTGGTGGGGAACTAGAAGAAAAGCTGTGATCGCAGCCAAAATATTTGACTACAACAGTCGGTACACTCTGGCTAAAGTAGACTTCACGCCGTACTTGCTCAGTCCCGATATATCCAACCTGACCCTCTCCGGATCGCTCGAACCTGCTAATAAATTCGTCATCCTCAACAGAACAATCGGAGGGACTATCGGCGGGAACGTCTTTCTGTCGAAGAGGCTCAGTCCTTACGTCGTAACCCGTGACATTAATATCCTCCCCAGCGGTAGGCTCGTTCTCGAGGCCGGCGTCAGACTAGAGTTTCTCATGCATGTGGGGATGATGATCCATGGGCAGTTGATAGCGGAGGGGACGGAGAAGGCAAACATAACGTTGACACTACACGAACCTTCCCAGGACGTCGGAAACGTGCGGCTGGTGGACGGGAAGGGTCCGTGGGAGGGGCGAGTAGAAGTGCGTCGCGGTGGACAGTGGGGAACGGTTTGTAGTAAAGGATGGAACGCCGCCGACACCATGATACTCTGCAAGCAGTTAGGCTACCCGGATTACTACGAATATCTCTCCAAGCCTGGACCACCGTCTGCTCCCATTCTGTTGAACAATGTCTCGTGCAGCTCTCAAGACCACGACATCGCCAAATGCAGATCCACGCCGGTTGGGAACAGCACGTGCAAACATCAGGACGACCTGTACGTCGGGTGCCTCCGCGGCCACTGGTCGGGCATCAGGTTTACGGCGTCCACCGGGCACAGTTCCCTCTTACATACGGTCGTCGAGAGGGGCGGTGCACAGGACAACAACGACTCCCCCATGGTCCCGTCAGCGATTCGGGTCGACCTGCACAACCATACCTTCAAACACGTCCAAATCCGCGACTCTGCCCAGATGGGTATGCACATCCTGTACACGCACCCTTTCCGAGACTCGGCTGAGGTCACAAACGTCACCGTGATCGACAGTCCGAACATCGGGTTATCCATGCGCTCGCCCAAGTTCAAAATCATCAACAGCACCGTGTCGGGTAGCGGGAGAGACGGGGTTGTCTTTGAGAGACCGCAACACCGCGATCCATACGTAACCGATGCCGAGGATGTCATGCTTCCACAGTTCCGGCACAAAGTTTGCTCAGGTGACAAGACGTTGAAAAGCAACGATTTCCTTTACGTAGAACTTGACGAGAACACGGAGTCGGTATGTACTGATACCATCACGACACAGGAAGGCTCTGTAATCGGCGTAGTCGTGCTAGAGGCCTTACTCGACCCATCTGAATCATTAGTTGTTACGGCAGGATCTCCGGGCAATGACAGCGCCGCCAACATCGTGGTCGTTACGGACGATCCCCTGGACTACCAGACCCAAAAACTGGTCGCAAGTGAGGGAACCATCACAGTAAATTACAGAGGATCAAGCAGTGGGTTTGGACTACTCCGGATGCTGGTCCTCTCCATTCCAGGTGAGCTTTTTTACCTTGATGATACTGTTATATTTTCAGGGCATCGCTCAGGCTTACATGTAGCCTGTGTCCAGTCTATCGTGGTTTGGGGAGGCTCCCTTCGGGCCTGTAGACGATGCCCGCCGCCCAGTTCCGTTAGGCTCCCCGATAGGATTTTTGCACGGCAGGAGTTTGATTGAGCTCCCGTCGTGCAAAACCTACCGGAGAGTCCAGTTGAACTGGACGGCGAGGATTGCGTCTACAGACCCGACGGGAGCCATCCCAAACCACGATACACTGGACTCGTAAATCTCAAGCTAAATGCAATTGTTTGATTCTTTAAGTAGATGTTACCCCTCAAATATAGCTGAGCTGCTCTCTATCTTTTCAGAACAGACGTTCTCGGGTGAAAGCGGGATCCAGGTGGAGGCCTGTAACATGTCCAACAACCGCGCGAACGGTATCCGGATCAACTTCCAGTCCAACGAAACGTTGACGACCATCACGGAGACCAACATCGAGAAGTCCGGCATGGGAGGACTGCACGTGGAGAAGAGCCTGGGTAACGTGCAGGTGGTCCAGTCGGTCATACACAACAACATGTACAGCGGGGTGATACTGATGTACTATGGCGGCGCCATAGACTTGATCAGGAGCTCGATAACGAACAACACCAACGGAGTAGAATTCTACGCTGGATATACGTGGCTAGGGGACCAGATGCCGAAGATATATCACACTGTCGAAGACTGTGAGATCTCGGGCAACACGGAACATGCCATCAGCGTCACGACCGACCACGGCAGCGAGAAACTCTGGCAGTTGGAGATTTCAGGCACTCGTATTGCTCACAACCACGGAGATATCATTCACATCTACCCCATGCAATCTATCAAAGGAAAATCTTACCCCTTTCTGGTCTTCAAGAGGGTCGAATTTACACACAACGAGGGTCGCGTGATGAGCATCTATGGGATGTACTCGGAAATTCTCCTTCAGAACAGCACGTTTGACAACAACTTTGGCAGCATCATCGACGTACAAGACGCGGGTTCCGTCAAAATGACGATCAGAGACAACAAGTTCGTATCGAACGACTGCGGAGACGCGGGTGTGCTGATGGTGACTGGGAAGGAGAAGAGGATGGCCATCTCACGTAACCTGTTCTACAACAACACGGGAAGGTTCGTGGTGTACTTCCAGCTGTTGAGTCAGAGTCTGGACGACGAGAGCCGCCTGATCACGTTCTCCCACAATACCCTGCAGAGTAACATCTACCGCAGACAGGACGTCTTCAGCGACCAGCTCATGTCATTCGCCTTCGGCATCTCCGGCCTCATGGCGCCCTTGTTAAGGTATCCTTTCATACATCATTTTACGTCGTTGTTGTCGGACTCCCATAATTACCTTCGCTTTTGTTTGGGGAGCCTGTGTCTGTCTGTGTGTTTGTGTGTGTGTGTGTGTGTGTGTGCGTGCGTGTGTGTGTGCGTGTGTGCATGTGGAAACACGATAACTCGAAAAGGCTTTGATGGACTATCTTGATATTTGGTAGGTAAGTACATGTTGATGAGCCCTCGAAATGATTAGATTTTTGGCCCCCTGGTGGCTTATCGTACTGCATCGGTTTTGATATCTCGTTTTCTGGACATGCTAGTTAGCTATTGTTTTGTTATTGGTTTACTTGTATTGGTGCACTTGTATACGTCTATGTAGATTTTGTATAAAATAGTTGACTGTTTCATTACCTGATGGTGTTCACTTGTCTTGCTGCTCTGTTTGCATGATGCGGTTTAATAGTTGGTGATAATCGTGTCTATTGTGGTTCCGTCACAGATACAACAGATTCCACAACGAAGAACTGAGATTGGAGCTGTTTGTGGATGTCCCCGCCGTGTCTGTCGACAGTGAGATCGACGCACGTCTCAACTGGTGGGGCACACCGGAGGAGCACCTGCTCATGGAGAGGATCTTCGACTTCGAGGACTGGAACGATCGCGCTTTGGTGGAATATTTCCCGTTCCTGTCCTCGCCGGCCGACGACGCCGTCGTCATCGACACCATGGCCCGGTATCGCGGGGACGATACGATCCTAGGCGGCCGGTTACTGGATCATTCCACCTTAACAAGAGACCGCAGTCCGTATTATGTATCCTCGGATCTGACTGTGATGCACAACGTCACGCTATCAATCGAACCCGGTGTAGAGTTACGATTCGCCCCGAGGGTTGGTCTGCTGGTGCTCGGGTCGTTATTAGCTCAGGGAACCGAGAAGGAGCACATCACCTTCACGGGCATGGAAGACAGCGAGGCGCGGTTCATAACCGACACCTCCGTGTACGACCTGCCCGTCAGACTTGTGGGAGGATTCTGGAGAAGTGAGGGGCGACTTGAGGTGTTTTACAGAAACCAGTGGGGGACGGTGTGTAAGGATGGCTGGGATTATAAGGACGCGTTGGTGGTGTGTAGACAACTGGGGTACGGGCCTCCAGACCAACGCGACTGGAAGTTCAAAACCGAAGCCGCGGGGAGACCAGAAGGCCCCGTCTGGATGGATAACGTACATTGCAGCGGAGACGAAGGCGTGTTGACGGAGTGTGCGTTCGGGTCTCTGGGATACAGTCTGTGCAGTCACAGGTACGATGTCGGCATCAGATGCGACGGTGGCGCTGTCAAAGAAAAGATCCCGTGGGGCAATGTCCGCTTCTCCGTCGACCAAGCTGTCTACGACCGGCAGGTCTCCGAGTCCTTGCTGGAGTTCGTGGACATCACAGGCGGAGGGTTTCTACACCAGCGCCGCATAGCGGCTCTGCAGGCCACCTACATATACCCAGACATCAAGTTTCTTACCATATCGAACTGCTCTGGAAGCGGACTGGAAGTTCTTGTTCCCCAGACGGAGACCTCCATCGCCGACAGCATATTTCTTCACAACCGCGGGTCCGGAGTAAACATCATCAGATCAGAATACGACCTGAGAATCCGGAACATCACAACCGTCAACAATAACGACAACGGGGTCAGCTTCTCTCCTCTCGACATCATCGAAAACGAGAGACACTTCGGCTTCTGCTCCTTCTCTGATCCCTCAAGGACCTTACCAGTTAGGAACAGAGCTTTTCTTCATTACAAGTCCTCGTTACTTCGACAAGAGGTTGCCGAGGCCTACAAGATCATCAGGGCACCAGACGGCTTCGTCGTCGACATCAGAATCCTCACGGGGTCATTTTACAATCAGAAGAAGCGTATCTCGTTTTTCAAGGGCGACAAATTCACAGATGATGAACTGTTCATCGTCATTGACGAGATGAACAACCCGAAGGAAAACCAGGTGTATTCAACAGGAACAAACGTTGTCGGAATCTCGTTCAACAACTACGAAAGGAGTCCTGACTTTGAGTTCCTGGCAGAGATTGTGGCTGTACCAATATCATGTAAGTTGCTTGCTTTTGTCCTATAGCTAATCTCCTCTCTACATTGTCGGCGTTTTTTTATGTTTGCCTTCGCAGAAGAAAAGCATATTGGTTTTGCTGTTTCCTTTTCCTCCGTTCCAAACAAATAAGGTCAGTGACCCGGACCAGGCCTCTGCCACCATGGTAACTGGTGCTGTAGCAGACACCTTGTGCCGTTGGATTACATTATGTAGCAAGTGGCAGAAGAGTTGGGGGGGGGGCTGGTCGTCGAATATATGGATACGTTTGAGTAAAAATGAACAGAGCTGTAGTTTGTTAGACCATGCATGTGAAGGCTAATATCATGGATTTACTTCGCAAAAGTTATCTTTCTAGTGTGACAAAAGTTCAACCACATTTGCTCATGCCGTGTCTTCTTAATCTCGGCCACCCCCCTTGTAGACCCTCCCTGTACGTTCAGCCAGGACTCTCCGTGTAAGTGGAGGGACGTGCATATGGAGGAGATCACACCGCGCAGCAAGTGGGTAATCTATGACGGGTCTGTAGCCAGTCATTACTTCTACGGCACCAACTACGACGCTGGGGGCGAATACAAAGGTTCGCAAGCTTGTACATAATTCTGATCGTTACCTAGTAAAACCAACACCTAGAATCAATTGTCCCAGGCGATATTGATAATTAGGAGAAGAGAACTATGTTGTTTTTGCTCTGTTTCTCCTTTTTCTTCTCCAAACAAATAAGATCAATGACCTGTATCCAGACACCCATGGTAACTGGTGCTGTAGCAGTCACCCTGTGGTGTTGAATTACATTATGTACATGTAGCAAGTTGCAGGACATTTGGAGGGGCTGGTCACCAAATACATGTATACGAATGTGTTTGAGTAAAAAAAACGGAGCAGTGTTTTTTAGGCTAGACCATGTGAAGGTTAACATTATGCATTTGCTTTCCAACTATTACCTTTCTAGTTTCTACCTACATGTATTGGCCTATGCATCTTACAGGAAGATATATCTACGTTGGAACTGGACTGGAAGACTTCGATAAAGACGAGGCTGCCTACAGTGTCCTGTCAGGGCCGGTCCTGCCTGTGGAACTAGACCTCTGCACTCTATCGTTCTACTATCACATGAGAGGTCCACGGGTCGGTAATATTCTCCACCATGTCGACTTTTATAATATTTTAGATAATCTGAATGATCTGGAAACTGCATTGCGAATGTTCTTCTACTTACTATTGAAAGGACAGTTCGTAATTGACTTCGTCATCTATGACCCCAGCAATGGTTATGTGCATGTGATAATGTATGAACTAGCTGGTTCTGTTTAGTTCGCCTTTCATCAGCTTTAGCATGATAAAACTGCATGCTTTAAGAACATTGAAGCGTCATGTCATACAAACCATGAGCTCTTAGTGGAGATACAAGGGAACATGATTACCTTGACCAAATATCCTAGCCTCGATCTACACAAGAACTATAGCTTAACCGGTTTATTTGGCGTTAAGGATCTACATAGGAAGTAGTTTTTCTAAAACAAACACAAGAAGCCCTCAGGCAAGGCAAAAAGGCTTGTTTATAGATCGGATGTACATATTTAGACACCATCTCCTGGAACTACATGTATATCCCCTGTGATTCACCTATAGTTCCACCCTGAGACCAAACTATGTTTCTGTGTTGTACTGTTCAACGCCACATCTCGTAGGCTCTCATTAGATCCTTTCTCCGTAGACGTCGCTGGTTATCTACGTGAACGACACCAGCGGGTTCCGTGAGATCTGGCAGGCCCGGGAGAACCGCGACACGGACGGCTGGCAGCAGGTGGTCGTGCCGCTGTCTCAGATCGTGGACGACTTCAACGCAGTCTTCATCGGAGGCCACGCCAGGACCATCCCCAGCCACGTCGCTCTTGATAATATTGAGTTCAAGAAATGCAGTAAAGGTAAGGATAGGCTCATTTAATAAAATATTGACGCCTTTTAGAATTGATGTGATGCAATAACTCCCACAATGCAATAATAGGTAAATATACAAAAGACTGCTTAGTTATTAGAAAAAATACCGAAACTCATTATTAGCCCCACTCGATTATAACACTATAAAAAAGACTTATGCTTATTGTTTTAGTTATTATTAGGATGTTAAGCTTTATTTTAGGTTGCTAAGTTTTACTCTATACGCCTATGTTTAATAGTCGTTGCCATGCATTGCGCCGTGCACGATTGCCGTGCAATAAAGCTCTGTGAAATACCCAAATATGTGCCCGTTTTCGTTCGTCCTCGTCCTCAGTATTGTTTCATCTCTGTTTTTGTTTTATTTCTCTTCCAGGAAAGTTTGCATCTCACGTAGTGTCTGACAGTGTTTTCGTCGGGAACAGGCGCAGCGGAATCCATTACTCCAGCACCTTTGAACGTAACCCGAAAGTCAACGTAGAGCGGAACATCTTGGCGGAGAATGGAGACAACCTGATCGGCGGGGCCGACCTTTCTTCCGCCCTTGCCATGACCGTTGGCGACGCCGAGTTCATGATCACCAATAACTTGGTGACCAACAACCGAGTGGGCGGGATACACATTCTCATGCATTCGAGGAACCCGGAGCAACGAAGCAACATGATCGCAAACAACGTTCTCACCAACAACAGGGACAGCGAGGCCGTGCTTCTACGAAGCATGGTGATGCCGATGATGTCCATCAACATCGTCGGCAACCACATCGCCCACAACGCGGCGAAAGAGTACCGCAGTGCGCTGGTCATCACCAACACCGTCGCCAACGTCTACAACAACACGTTTTACAACAACAGCGGGATGTACACGGTTGAGTGGCAGTACCAGGGAGCCAGCGCGCTCACGGACCCGACCGAGCAGCAGTACTTCGCCGGTAACCTCGTCCACTTCAACAAGGGCGAAAACCAGGCCCTGCAAGCGACCATTGTCACAGACGGGCCGATCATGTATCAGTCCAACTTCATCAAAAATCCGGCCAACGAGTACGAGATCAGCCAGTTACAGTACCAGTACGAAGAAGAGGTAGAAGAGAAACCGAAGGGTGACGAGGAGCTTGACGAAGACGTTGAAGAGGAAGAAGAGGTCAGCGTCATCGCTACGAACAACTGGTGGGGCTTCACCAAAAGACCGGAGGTCGCAGACAGAATCTTGGGGAAGCAGAGAACCAGCAAGTCTAAAGTGACCTACGTGCCCTTCCTTACTGCCCCGCCCTTCCAATATCGCACAGGTAATTTTACTACTATTTACTTTTCTAAAAATGGGCGTGGCCACAGATATGATGCTGACGTCATAGTAATTTGCATAAATTACCTTCTTGCAATTATTTACTTTCAAGCTCATACTACAAATTTTTTCATATCCATTGCCTGTTGTTAAATTGCACATTGTAAATCAGCTGTCATTTTTCGCCCTTTTAGGGATAAAAAAATGTCCTGTCAAAATTCTCATGAAAATTCTTTTATGATTCCGTTTTCAGAAAGCTGTCCTATGGGATGGCTTCCGCACGGAGGTAGCTGCTACACCTACAAACCAGAGGTGTTCACGTGGAAAGAAGCCGTCGAAGTCTGTTTGGTGAGTTTGGTTACTAAAAAACATATTCATGACTGCTACTGCATCTCCTATTTGGTTATGTCAGAAAGAACACAAAATTACCGTGAACAAAAACAATATATTTCATCCATACCATGGTATGGAGTGAAATATGATTAAAAAATTCTAATTACAATACGGTGCATTTTCTGTATATACTACTTTTGAGGATCACTGAAGTCCCTAATTATCTTGTCTGCCTTGCAGTCTGATGGAGCATCGATTGCCTGGATCACGGACGTCATTGAGCGTGACTTTGTCCTGGAGATGCTCCTGTCCCGAGGCTACAACGAAAATTACAACGAGCCGGCCTGGGTGGAGGCAGCCAGTCATCTCACCGCGCAGCAGGAGGGGTTCGCAGCCAGGGTAAGGGCCGTGTCTCCTCCGGGTGTTCAGCCTGGGTTCCAAACCCATAGCACACTTGACACAAAACATGTCAGTGAGCCTGGCTCACTGAGATACTTTGTGTCCAGTGTGCTAACATTGGTCTGGAACCCAGGCTACCGGTGTTGAGCAGCATCCTAAAATGAGCTGCCACATACGTGAAAGGCCGGGCCTGGTTAGGGTTAGGGTTAGGGTTGGTATTAGAGGTAGGGTTAGGGTTAGAGTTGGGATCATTGTTCAGGGCTAGGGTTAGACTTACGATTGGGGTTAGGTTAGGTTAAGTCTCCCAGATCACTACTAAACCCCTCCCACCCCATTGTCTCAGATACTGCATTTCCCAATTCATATATTTAAAAAAATGTCGGCCATTACATACTCCACTGCACACGGAAAAGAAATCAAGCCCAACAAATGTATATCTAAAATAGCATTAGCATTACTTATTATCATTTTTTACTGTTTATTTTTGTTATCATGTTCTTGCAATTAGCCCTCAGGCATGAATTTGGAAGAAACTTTACAATTATATATTGGACCCCCCCCCCCCCCAAGTAGTGTCGGAGTCATGTATTTGGCAGGATCGTGTATTTGGCATGACAAGTTGACACCAGGCCTTCCTACGGGGGTACGGATCGTAGAATGTCCGCAAAAAAGAAAAATAATTGGCCAGGAGAGAGAGTCGGCTGGAGGGTTAATTGCCCATCCGAAGCGAGCATATGTACTCTAAGGTGGCCATTCTCATCTATCCAATTTTTCTCAACATTGGGCAAAATTTTACTGTACTTGAACCTGCGTTATTTGTTAGACTACGTATTTTAGCCACCGAGTCTCTTTCGTCCTCTACGCAAATAAAAACACGACGGAAGAGAGTCGGCAGCTAGAATAGGTTTGGTAACTAGGCTAACTGTCCCTACATATTAGTCAATCCATTTAGCATAGCCATTAGGGACCGCCATAGGAAATTACGAGGATGAATTTTCCCATCTAAACGTATTAGCGAGGACATGCCTAAATGGAAGAAAGCCTCCTGTCGACGTGGGTTTTAATTAGGATTTGATGGGAGATGATTGGAAAGGCTTTGTAATGCATTCATTACGGTGATTATGGCACATTCCAAAAATGGCGTCATGCAACAACTTAAGTGCTCCTTTAGTTCAGTTTTATTGTATTTGACTGTTTATGTTCTGTTTGCAGAATCGTCCGAAGTGTTCCTATCTGAAGCTTCCCGGATTTAAGGGCGATGATGGCCTGAGTCTGTACCCAGACTGTGAACTCGAGAGACATCCTGTTGTATGTAGGAAGGATATAGGTGAGTAGACACCGTTCTTGAGCCAACACAGTACTAGTACTTTTCACATTGCCTGCATATATCAGTATTACTAGTACAACCTTGGTCCCAAATGCTCACTCCAAGCCAGAGGGCACTGGTAACTATGATCATACAAGCGTGTGCCTGTTTCACACTTCGTAGCTGAAGTGTAAAAATGTAAGGGTTAAAATGGGGTTCTTCTCCATTGTGTTGCAAAATAAACACATGGAGTTAACCCAAAATAGCCCAGAAGAGAACAATAGATAGCGGGCCCCTCACTCTTTTTATGGAGTGAGTAAACCCTAAAAGGTCCTCAAATGAAGTTGGTAGTGGCCGGCCCGTGCAGGTGGGTCCCAGACTGCAGCTGTGCATCAGGTGTAGCGCAAAGGATTTTTTTAACCATGTAAAAGGCTTTTAATCATGATAACGACAGCCGTTCTCCCGACTTCAGAGGGCTTGCTCGGGCTACACTCCGTAAAGGAACCGGTGCAAATGTGACCTTAGGATTACGCGGTGTGATGCTTTTCGAAATCCAGCCTAGCTGCTTCTTGGTAAACCGATTCTAATCTCTGTCTTGTTGATTTCGCGCGTACTGATGATGCCTTTCTGTTACGCAAGTTGGCAACTGTCCCAAAAACTGCTTCCACCACGGCCTGTGTATGGGGACGTCCTGCGTCTGCGACAGGGGCTGGGAGGGAGACGACTGCTCCAAGTTCCACTGCAAGGAGATCGGGAACTGCAACGGCGTCGGAGAATGCGTCGGGCCGAGTCACTGCAAGTGCAAACCGGGGTGGAAGGTAGGAAGGTAGTCTGTCTTATGTCGGCTGCATTGTATGTACTTATGTTACTTTGCATGTGCTTTTCAGACCTTAATGTGTCAGAGATCAGTGACCTCCGCCGCGAAGTATTGTGTTCAGTTTGTCCTGTGCATGTTAGCAGCTGTAACTCACGATTGTCCCTCACAGCTCCCCTTCGTGCTATCACTGGCCAAATACCTGATTAATGTGCAGTTTTCCTTAATTTGCATATACTACGCCAAGAGTCAAAGTTCAAAGGTTACCCCTATCCCATAATGCCCTAGTCCTCATTCTTTTCCTTGGCGCGCCATATTGGAAATACGTCGAGAGTTGTACTCAGCTTTTCATCAAGCTTGATTCCGTTTTTTCGCGTCGTTGTCAACCCTTATACAACCGGGATGTCTTCCAAGAAAGTCAAGACACCGTCGCAGGATGTGAGGGAGGTTCGGACCTCCCAAAAGCCCGCTAAAACCGCGAAAGAGAGTCACGCGGAGGAGAGAAAGTCAGCGGACCCCGCGCTTTCTCCCTCCCATGGGGACGCTGGTATGCCGACGGACACCTCGCAAAACCAGGTCCCTCTCGGCCAAAATCGCGTACAAAATGCCGATTTTGCCGGGCAAGCGGGCGGCTCCGGCTCGTGCTCGGCTCCGGTCGATACGAGTCGTGGGGACGGGTCGGCTGCCCGCCGGGCAGGCGACTCCAGCGTGACGCACATGGAAAGGGAGCCCGCCCAAGGCGGCTTCCCGCGCGGCGGACCACATGTGGCAGCCGCAGCGGCTTACGGACCCAACCCGTGGTTCAACTTCATGCCGCCTCCACCTTCCCCGCTTGGATATGGCTTCCCAGCGCCACCGACTAGCGCCTTTGAGAGCAGAATGTCGGCGATGGAGAGAACCCTCCAGGACGTCACGACAGCTCTCCAAGCCATACAATCCTACCGAACGGGCGGTCCCGGACCCTCTTGCTCCGCGGACTCACAGTCCTACGCCTCGGGAAGCGACTCAGAGGACGGGGAAGAGAACCAATCGGCCTCCGAGGAGGCCGAGGAGGAAGGTATGTCATTTGACAATCCTTACAATGAGAGTAATTCAGGTCTTTCCCCTGCTTCGGAGGATCTAAAAAAGTACCTAAATGATCTTTTCACTAGACGCCTCCCTAAGGAGGAATACGAGAAACGGTGTGGGCAATATTCGGTTCCCTCTAACTTGATTGACATCGTGAGTGCCCCAACCTTCCCCCAGATCAATCGGCGTTGTTGGAATCCAAAACAGCCGAGGGAGAACGGAAATTATTGGGCCTACATAGCCGTTTTATGCAAGTCGCTAAGCCACTGACGCACTGTTTGTATGAACTGAAATATGATCGCCGTCCATGTGACAAGGATTTTGTGGTGGAGACCTTAGAATCGGCTCTAGTGCTGCTGGGTAGTGCCTCTTCAACTTTCCTACATAGAAGAGACCAGTGTGCCAATTTGGTACGGGAAAAAGGAGACTAAAACATCTCCTATCTGAGATAACCCCACATCAAAACATCTGTTTGGGATGATTTTGTTAACCAAGTGAAGAATGCCTCCACGTCTAAGAAAGCTCTGGGAGGCGTCTTCTCGTCGGGAGGGCACTACAACCAGAAGTACAACCCAAAGAAA